GTAGAAATGATCCTCCTGAATAATCGAATCGATTCCGTAGCGGAATTTCGGAATTTCTGCACATTCCGGCTTTTCCGGAATCGGTAGGAATGTGCAGGAATTCCTGGAAATGCACGAATTCCGGAATTCCATATTTGTCATCATGTCCAGGCTTACATAAATATCAATTGATCAAGCCATTCCGGAATTGGTAGGAATGTGCAGGAATTCCGGAATAGGTAGGAATCGAATGCATGGAATTCCGGAATAGGCAGGAATCGAATGCAAGGAATTCCGGAATTGAATTATGTTAATTTGGGTGAGCCAAGCGATTCCGGAATGTGTAACTTTCCGGAATAGGATGACTGCTCCAAAGTAAGTAATTTACAAGATAATCAACCATGTAAAATATGTTCCAATGATGTTATTTATAGATCACGTTGGTTTCATAGTTTTCTTTCTACTCACCATAGGATTTTCTATACAATTTTAATTCTATTATTAATTATCAGTGGCATCATGGCAATAATAGTCATTCGTTACAAAACATACAATGAAGATAAATTAGCTCAGACATTTTCGACTCAATTACGATCTGGTTCAACTTATGTAAATATGTGCTATTTATTGATATATGTATGTATTCTCTTTCGATTTAGCGAAAATCCAAATCACCTGAAAGTCTTGGTCAAATGAAAATTTACATTCGTAAACCGACTCGAGATGGTAAACGAGGACGATTTCAGAAATTACGTTTTCCTGTAGCACGTTATAGTCGCCGAGAGTTTCGTATGCAATACGTAATCAATTAAACTTACTGTATATAATCATATTCTTTTTCATTTAAGCATTTAATGGTCCATTCTTAAGTTTTACTCCTTGGATTCCAATATTTGCCGATCGATTAACTCGACAAACAATTATATTTTCACCGACAGGAGGCAGTAAGTAGTCAAATAATTAGAAACATGAATTCATGAATAATATTTTGATAGTCTACATTTTACCTCCATTGATTAACTTTTATGGCAAAATGTTTTCGGTTGCGGAACTTATTGCATTCGGGTATGCTAGTCTGGTTAGTGGTGGTACTCAATCAATGAATTCCATTAATATGTTATCTTATTTTCAACCAACACGATGTTTGTTTTCTATTTCTGAGCATTTTCTCCATTGTATTTCTTTTGTATATTTAGTGTATGGTACCGGTATACCGAGAATCAACTCATTGACAGGTGGTTTTGTGGGTGGTATTCGAACAGACTATGACGCCTTCATTATTCCAAAATATCCAAGAACGCAGACTGTTAAAGATATTCCACAAGAAACAGAAGAGGACGATGATGATGATTATTCAGCGCCATCATATTCGCAAAATGATTACAAAAGATCACGATCACGACAACGCTATCGAAAACGACCATATCGACGACTTCATCGTCCAAGTAATATAAATTATTGATATTTTATTTGATAATTCTAATGATCATTACAGGTATCTCAAACGAAACTGCTCAATCGTATCCTGCTGTTTTATATATTTGGTCGGGACAAAATTCTTCGGTAGAAAATACAGCTGATTTTATTGCAGTCATTGATTTTGATGAAGATTCGACTTCTTATGGGCGTATCTTAAAGATTGTACCTCTCGTATCAGACAATGCCAAGAAAGTTGGACAAACAGGAAATGAACCACATCATGCTAGTTTGTCTTCGGATGGTCGTTATTATATTAGCGGTGGTCTGCTTAGTTTTCTTTCGAACCAAGCGGAAGTATTTGTTTGGGAAGTTCCTAAAAATCCCATGGATGGTCCTAAATTTCTATATGCACTTGATGTGCCAGCTGCATGTCCAGACGAATTTCAACCAATTGATGACGGAAAATTTCTCTTGAGTATGATGTGTAATGAGAATGCTACTAGTCCAGGAGATATAGTAATTATTGATGTTAAAACTCGTTCGGCAAAATCCTTTTTAAAAGATGCTTCGTCATTGATAGATTTTAATCCACATGGATATGGTATCATTAACGACAAGTCTGTCTTCGCAGGAGATTATATCGATCCAATTAGTCTCACTGGCACAGATCCTGCAAATATTATTTTTCGAAATACTTTACGATATTTCAGTTCAGATGGAACATTAAAACGTACTTATCAAATACCTTTCCCGACGGAACCAGATGCATTTAGTGGTATTGGACAAGGAGATGGATTCATGGAATTAAAAGCTATACCAAATGATCCTTTCGGACGTTCATATGCAGCGGGCACCAATATTAATAATTTGTATTTATTAGGACCAAACATGTCCGAAGCTTTGTTTATTATGGATGTTTCTCAAGTAAATAATTATCAAAAAAGAATTAGTGCATGTATTATGTCATTTTTTTCCCGATGGCAAACGTGTATTAATGACATTTCAAATGCGATTCGTACTCTTATTTGATATCAGCAAACCGGAAAAACCTGTCATTCTTCATGTCTTTGATTTTTGTTCAGACAAAGCACTTGATCATGTTCAAATTCAAGTTCCTGATTCAGATGAAGTTTCAACTTTTCCTCAATTCTGTGCTAAAAATAATAATCGTACCGGTGCCCATATAATTCATCATCCGAAGGGAGAAAATCGATTCATTGTTGTAAATTATTTTCTCCACTTTGGATTAGCACAATTTAGTGGTACAAGAACTGTACATGCATTCAAGTTAAACAAAGATTTAACGAAGTTTGAATATGATCATAAGTTTAATCCTAACTTTCAATTTAAAGATTCAGAACAACGTTTAACATTCCATTCACTTCATGCATTTCCTCATCATGCTCAATATATTCGATTAGAGAAATAGACAATAGATTCAACTTTGTTATATGCTTTTTTATCTAATGAAAAAATAATATTTATTAAAAATAAAATTCTAAAACAATTAAATATTAGTAAAAAAAAAAAAAAAAAAAATTATCCAAACATGTCCTGTTTGATTTTTCCCGATTGTTTAAATTGTTGAATTTGATAATTAGCTTGATCAGATGTAAGTGTATCATTATTAGAGATTTCTAAAATGGATGCTAATGTTGATTCAATACTTTGACAAGCACGAGTTGATCCACACATATAAATAAAAGAATTTTCATTCTTTATTATTGAAGAAATTAATTGTTGATAATCTAACATTGCATCTTGAACATATCGTTTAGCAGCAGATTTTTCTCTTGAATAAACTGGAATAATAAATGTAAGAAGTTTGTTACTAGAATTTTTTTCATAATTTAATAATTGAAGTTCTTTTGCAAAAAGAAAATCATTTTTTGTGCGACAACCAAAAAATAAAACTCGATCTATTACAATATTATTATTGGAATTTAAATTATGTAGTATTTGAAGTTCTTGCCAAAAAGATCGAAATGGTGCAATACCTGAACCAATAGCAAACATTAATAGTGGACGATTTAATGGTAGAAATAATTCTTTATCATTATTTATCTCTTTTAACAAATTTTCTTGACCTGGTAAACGAAAATGTAAATTTGGTACTATAAATAATTGAACTTTGCTTGCATTTTCTTTTGATAATGTTAAAGAATCAATCATTTTTTCATCATCTTTTAATAAAGGTTTTGTTTGTTTTAAAAAATTTGAACAAATACCATTTCTAATAATATCACGTATTGTTCTATATGTTACAATACTAACAGTTATATGAAGTTGATTTGGATTATATCGAGTAGATGATGATATCGAATAATAACGAGGTTGAAGTTTTGGTAAAATCTATTTTTATGCAATTAATTTATTAAATATATATGAATAGTTAGAAAAACAAATAGATATGATGAATTTTTTTACGTAAGTGAAGTTAACAGCCGATTCGGTTATTTCCATCGGCGAGTCTCCAGGGTGTGAGTGTCAGTTAAGGGAAGATTGATACCCACACCCACACACCCTAACTTCACTTATGTCATTTATATAATAATTATTCAAATAAGAAATTGCACTATTATTTTATTTAGATTTTTGTAATTTATAAATATGTTATCTTACTTGTATAATATCCTCAATAGGAATTTTAAGAGATGGAAATTGTTCTAACATTTCAATAATTGTTGGTGAGTTTATTTCCCAATCTCCATAACGTTGTGTGCCTTTATTGTAGCGCTATGAATTATAGGACTTTGATATTATTTAGTATTATTCTCTTTCTCGTGGAGAAGAATTCAGTAAACATAAACTGTTTGTTTGATTGCTTGTGTGTCCGCAGGGTCAAAAAAACATCGAAAATCAATTTTTCGCGATTTTCATTTGTTTTTCCAGGAAATGTGAAGAAAATGGGTTTCTACGAGAAAGAGTTAACCGGGTCCTTGGACGAGCGATACTTGTTTTTGTAATTTATATTTATTTATTGTTTTTGTTTTGATTAATTAATTGTGAACTAGGATGTGAAAATAAATATATGTACGAAATCATTGATTTAGCTTTTAATTTTACAAAATACTTATGTAATAAGAAACAATATTGTAAAGATTACGTTATCAAGGGATACCTAATTCTAATATATTTCTTTGTTCATTTTCATCCTTAGCATATATAGATATTGTATTAAGTACATGTGGTTTTGGTGTTATATTTAAATCAATATAATATGTTAAAATTTCTCGTATTGTATTATATTTATTATTAGTAAATGATGATAATGAACAATGTTGATCTAAACGTTCATCATCAATTTTCCAATCACAAGCCAAAAGTAGATTATTAATATTTGTTAATGAATTTTCAGGTAAAATACAAACATGATCACCTGGAAGATAAGATAAACCACATGTATCAAATACAATTAAACGAACAGAATGTTCATTATCTATATTAGATGATTTATCTTCATTTTCAATTAATTCAATATTTTGTATAACAGTAGCAATATATGGTTTATCTTTTGTAAAAACTCCTTTTTCTTCTGATTGATTTTGTTGTATTTTTATTTTCTCTGGATAAAATTCTAATGAATTATAATCAGATCGAAAAGAATTATTTAAATTAACTTCTTGTCCAGGAGAAATATTTGTATTTATTGAAGATGTTGAAAGAATTTCAGGACGTAAACAAGCATGTGGATAAATTGATCTTAATGTATGAATAGCAATTGTTTCCCATTGATTATAACTTTTAAATTGTTGATTAAGTGCATCACACATAGTAAATGGTATAAGACGTGTTCCACCTAATTTTTCAAATGTATCATCTATTAATTTTCCGAATCCACAGTAAAATGGATATGCTGATGAACCAATAGCACAAACAGCATATGTACACCACATCAATGGAGAACGCATAGTTGATATTAATTTATCCTCATTTGAATTTTTACCAAAAGTTTTTTCTGGATTTTTTAACCATTCTTCAAGTTTAATACCACCATCAGATGCATTTCCTTGACCAAATGTTGATGTAATAATAAGATTAATTGATCGTTCATTATTATGTTGTAAAAATTTAAATGAATCTAATTCATTTAATAATGGATTATAACCAATATAAAGTAATTGTTTATACATTTGTTGAGCATATGAATAAGCAGTACCACTTGATGATGCATAAAGAACATTTACAGATATTCTTTGTTTCACAGCTACTAATGCAAAACCAATAATAACACGTGCAGCACGTAGAATTAACCATCGATGACGAATTCTTTTATTTAAAGGTATTCCAAGTAAATCTTTATGTTTTTTCATTGGTGTATAATTAAGCCATGGTTCATTTTGATCTACGACACGTGGTTTAACAACATAATTAAGCATTTCTTGATGAAATACAGAACTCATTCCACTACTTATCGGTGGAACAATCCAAACCCAATCACATGGAGTATTTCCTCGTTGTTTTATTTCAGCTTTCATAAATTTCATAAATCCAGTAGCAGCTGTATGATGATCAACAATAGCTATTTTAGCTTTTTCAAATGAATATAAAATTGATGCATTAATTTCTACATATAATCGATCAATATTTAATTGACTATTAGCTGCAGCAGTTATATCCATATCTAATAAATCAGCTAGTTTTGGAATAAAATTATATCGTTGTATATCACAAAGATTTCTACCAATTTCTGTTTCCATAAACCAACCACTAAATGGAACACATCGATAAAATATTCCACCAACTTCAATAGCTTTTTCACTAACATATGGTTGAGCAAACCATCGTAAACCTAATGATTTAATTGCTGTATCATATTTTTTATCAGGATGTGATAAGAATACTTGAAATTGTAAATCATCTGGAAGTTCATACCAACTTGGATCTTCATTAGGTTCAACTTGAACAATAATTGGTAATAAATCCCATTGTGTTCGTTTTTCTTCAATTTTATTCCATCCAACTTGTATAGCTATTTTTGTTAATTCTAAATTTGCTGGATCACCTAATAGTGATCCATCAGATTGTTCATAACATGCATAACGAAAATATTGTGATGACCAAACACGTGATTTAGGATTCATAATAAGAACTGATGCTTGAAGTGTACCACCATTATAAGCAAAATGTATATGATCACAAATTGCTTTGAACATTTCATCATTTGTTCTTATATTACGATGATCAAGAGCTTTAAATGTACGCCAATATAAACGATTAATACAACGTGATGAATTTCTCCAAGCTAATTGACAACCATATTCAAGTTCATCAGTTTTATGAATGTATGTTCCAGTTTTTTCTATTTCAAGATTAACTTGTTTTAAACGTTTTTCATAATCATTTTCTGATGTTTTCATATCATTATGATAAATTGAAAGAAAATTATGTGCTTCCTTTTTAACATAATTTTCATCTAATGATTCAAATTCATTAATTGAATTTTCAGTTTTTATTTGAGTTTGATGAGGATGTGTAGTAAGTGGCATATATGTTGATGTACATACATGTTGACGACAATCATTATATTTATTTGTTATTGGACCAGTTACTTCTGCTATTTCACCTGTTTGATAATTACGAAGTTTTAATGGTTTTATATCCGGTGTCCAAATTAATTTAATTTCATCATTTGCTTTTGATAATGGTGGTGATGTTTCATTGTTTATAAATGGACATTTTGATTGATTTTTTTTAGTTGATGAAGAATTACCCATTTTTCAAACAAATATTAAACTAGAAAAACAAAGTATTTGCAATATTTTTCAAGATAAAATATAATTCACTAGTTAATAATCTTATCTCACATATTAGACAAGATTCCTCATGCGAGCAAAAAAAAAGAAATGAAATTTTTGTTATATATGTATTAACGCCTAGGTATTATTTAGGAGCAAACCGAATGTGATTATTGGATTCGGTTCAACGAGCAAAGTATACAAAAGACAAATCTTAATAATAGATATATTCATTTTTTCTTTAGGCAAAAGAATCTTCTTTGATAATCGCGAAAACTAATAAACTATAAAAAGATCATCGACTAGTGACTATTTTATATAAATTTTCTTTTGAAAATTTCGAATCTTTGTATCTATTTGACATAAATGGGTACATTACCTTAATACAAACTATCTTATCTATTGATGAAAATCGTCTAATGATATATATGATAAATTCTGTTATGCTTTATAGAAAGAAAGAAAAAAGGTAGAAAATATATATTACTATAGAAAATTTCGATAAATATTGACATTGATTTATGATAGGCAATCAATGTGACAAACGCATTTATGTTATTAGAAATAAAAAAATAATATCTATTCTCTAATCTTTTTATTTCGTATATTCGAATAAATTTATGTCATATCTAATTCTATAATCCATCATTTAATTTATTCATTGATAGTAAACAAGGAATTATCAGTCATCAGAAAAACAAACGTTCTATTATATTTTGTCTGCCTTTTAGTCATATAATATACACTCCAATATTATAATCAAGATTTTTTTGCATAAAAGAAAAAATATAACCTAGTCGCTACGTCCCTGGGTGTGAGTATCTCTCTTCCCAACTGACCGAGACCCACACCCTTTTTTTCTATATGAGATTATTATATAGTTTGTGATTCTCGAACGAGAATGAGACACTTTTACTTATGAAGTTGTGTTGTTGTTTATGTTATTCTTATAACTCAATATTTATAATTTGTCCTTGAAATTTTTTGTTTACTGTTAGTTTTCTTTTTTAAACTTATTATTCATATTATTCTCTAACAAATCAATAGAAACGATCATATACAAAGAGCAAGATTCATTATGAAATATTAACGATATATTTAAACTTTTTGTTTTCTTTGCTGTCTTATAAATGAAAACAAAAACACATCAGATATTATGTCAATCACGATTTGAACATTGTCGACAAAAGAATACTCGTTGTAGAGTTTTTTTTTTCTTTCATTCTTTTAAAAACATTTTCTCCTTGAAAGGCTTAGCAAGAATGAATAGATGCAGTTGTTTCTTTTTCTATTTCATTTATTTCGATTACAGTCCGAAAAAAAGTAAGAGAAACATTCAAATGACAAATTCCAAACATGTGGATATGAAATAATTAAATACGACACTTCTTTTTCACACAAAATTTTCCTTAGATATATTACAATTGTATTAAATTCAATGTGTTAGTATATTCCTGTACAAATGCACCGAATTCCATTTCTTCGACGTGCTACAATTAGAAAAACAATTATCATCCTATGTTGTATTGGATATTTATTTGTATTCTTTATAAATGGGTCAAAAAAATTAAACAATTCTCGAACTCACAGATATGTCGTTTGGACTAATGACTATCATATAAGGTATTCAATACAATATCCTTCCTTGAGATTAATTTTCTTTTGAGTATGAGTAGGTTACTAAACTCATCTATTGTTCAAAAAAGATCAATAAAAATAAAAGCGGTTTCTTTAGTTGTATATCTAATATTTTTATTTTTAACAGTCCAATATATGATATCAAACATCAACTTGCATCATTTGATATTAAATTTATTGATAAAAGTCTCTCTGGTTCTTGTTATGAAACAAAAACATGTGCAAAGAAGTTGAAAGTCTTGCATGTAGGAAATGCATTGTGGCCAACTTACCTTATTCGACAAGAATTTTATAAAGCTTATAAAAATGATTTAGAAATGAATCAAGTCAATATTTTTATGTGTTTTCATCCTGCAGCAATGTGTGAAATGTTTATGCCATTCAATCGAACATTAATTGTAATTGCGTCTACTCGTTATGAATTAGGACGATACGGAAAAGAAGAATGGATTAATTGGAATAAAAATCTTCAGATCATAGCCGCAAATCCTCGGTAAATATAATGCAATTAGGAATTTCACTCTTAAGATATTTTCAAATATCAATGATTATTTTTTTTTCTATTAGCAATGTTGTAGCTGGTAATAATTTGTATGATGCTGAATATATACGATATTTTACTGGAATTAAAGCGATCGTCTTACCATCCTTATGTGCTTATACGAATGTGTCATATGCACCAAAAATTAAAAAACCATTTCTTATCACCCCTATACATGGAAAAGAATTTCCGATTGAATTTACATTAAATCTAACAAACGCTTTACAACGTCTCAAAGTCTCTATAAATGTGAGTCATTTACGAGAAGTATACAAAGATCGTTATGATTATTCACAACTTATTCAACATCCTGGAATAATTTATGTTCCATATCAAGTATCTTTGATGAGTTTATTTGAACAATATAGAATGAATATTCCATTATTTTTTCCATCACTTGATCTTCTTACTGAATGGCATTATAAATATCATGTTGTTAGAGAACGAACTTGGGGTGGAATATTTGAAAGCTTAAAGAATTCTTCTATTCTACCAGGTGTTTTAAATTCGAATATTCCTGATCCAAATAATGAATTTGATCGCGATGCAATTCGTTATTGGCTTAAATTTTCTGATTTCTATCAATGGCCATATATAACTTATTTCAATTCTATTGATGATCTTGTTATAAAACTAAATAATACTAATCTTATGGAGATCAGTGAAAATATGAAAGCACATAATACTATAGTAAAAAGAAAGTTACATGAACAATGGCGTCAAATACTTGAAAAAATTAATTAATTATATATTTTTACTCATCGATCAATCCTGATACTATTATAATCATCCGGTTGTAAATATGACAAATCATCTTTCCAAATGAATGCTAGGTGATGCATTAAAGATATGATACTGTCTTACTGAAGTTCAGTTTTTAGATTAAGATCTTTTCTTTTTGATTTGTCGTTTGTTTTCTGTTAATGTAAATAGTTTTCATCATTTTATGAAACGTAATATAATGAGTGTGGGTGTGCCTCACCATGCGGATGATATGGAATGCCTACATTCAGATACACTCAAGATGAATCTATTACTTGCCTTGATTCAATCATTTAATTGCAATCTGTCTGACTAAATAAATTTATTTTTAAGGTAAATATTAACAATATAATTATGTCCTATGAACAGCATTTTTCTGTTCAAGTCTTCCAGTATTCTTTGTGTTTTTCATATGTGTGCCTTGAGGAATAATAGCGCGTCTTTGTCGTTGATAACAACATCGAAACATATTTTTTATTCGACTTTGAACTTTAGATAATGTACCAAGACATGCGAATGGTAATAAAAATGTAATATAATATGAAAAGAATTGTGCATAAAGATTGTAATCAGATCCCACATAAG